GTCTTTTACAGTATTTGTCCTTATAAGACTGAGTGAATTCACTTAGCATAATGTTCTCTAGTCCCTCACAAATTAAGTAATTATTTTCAAAATAATTTCTCCTGCATGCTGCGTAGTGTTCATCATGGGAATGTACCATAGTTTCTCAATCCATTCAGTTATGGTTGCAAATTTGGGTTCTTTCCATGTTCCTGGTATGGTGAATAACACTGTTATGAACATTGGTGTACAAGTCTCTGTGCTTCAGTTCTCACTCTCTTGTTCTCTTTTGATGATGTACTCAAAATGGCCAAAATTTTGCCATCTTTATTTCTAAGGAGCATTCTGGTTGTATTCATTCTGAGATTGATTGTTCATTCTTCTGGCAGCCCATCATATAGTCAGTATCCTTTGCTGGAAACATAATTAAAATACATAAGTTCTTGGGTCTATCTCTTACAGTACCTAGCTTTCACATGTGTGTAAGACCTTTGAAAAGATCTTGGCTTGGATGGGTTGCACTTTAGTCAGCAAAGCAACACTTTTGCTTTTAAAACTATAAAGAGATCCGTCTTCCCTCACCCCCATTGTTGTTTTTGTTGTTAAGTGCCCTCGAGACGAGTATAACTAATTGTGACCCTGTGAAAAACAGATCTGAACCCTGTCATATCCTATGCCATCCTCATCATCTTGGACACACGTCTCCATTGCTGCAGTCACTGTGTCAGCCCATCTCATTGAGCGTTATCTTCTCCTTCACTGACCCTCCATGTTTCCAATTTTGATATCCCTTTCTAAGCAGCAGGCTTGCATGCCCAAAGTAAGAGAGATGACACTTCGTCACCTTTACCTCAAAGGAGCACTCTGGCTGTACTTTCTCCAAGATATATCAGTTTGCTCTTTTGGCACGCAGTGGTGTATTCAGTACTCTTCTCTTGCACCACAACTTAAAGGCATCAATTCTTCTGTCATCTTTACTCATTGTCCAGCTGATATATAGGAGGTGATTGAGAAGACCATGGCTTGAAACAGGTGCACCTTAATCTTCAAACTAACATCATTGCTCTTAAGTATTTCGGAGAGGTCCCTGACAGCAGAGTTGCATAAAGCAATGTGTCTCCTCATTTCCTGACTGCTGGTACCAAGAGTGCAAATTATTGATCCAACATTGACAGCTTCACTGTCTATCATGGTGTTAACTGTTGGACCCATGGTAAGGACCATTGTTTTTTAAAACCCTATTAACAATAGAGGGATATAGTGTTAACTGTAGAGCCTAGGTGGGAATTCACTAAAAAATGAGGAAAAATACCTACAAGCAATCATAATAACTGGAACTTGGAGTGTACCAATGTACAAAATCAGAATAAAAAAGGAAAAATTTACTCAACATTTCTCAAGCTGAAAGAACTGAAAAACAAAGTATGAATGTAGGAGAACTGAAATTTATAAAAAATGAAGTGGAATACATTAGGCAGATGACACAACCTAGCTTGCTGAAACTAAGGAAGACCTGAAGCACTTGCTGCAGAAGGTCAGGACTGAAGTTTTCAATATGAATTAAAGCTCAACATCAAGGAGAAAAAGATTCTCACCTCTGGGCCCATTAGCAACACCATGATGGACGGAGAAGAGACTGAGGTTGTTAACAATTACAGCTTGCTCAGCTCCACAGTCAACACTTTTGGCACCAGCAGTAAGGAAATCGAAAGACAAATTGCATTGAGAAAATCTGATGTCAGGGACCTCTCCAGAGTACTGAGGAGCAATGATGTCAGTCTAGAGACTGGTTCAGACCATGGTGTTTGCAATAACTTGCTGTGTATCAAAGAGCTGGACTATGACTAAGGATGTCAGAAAAAGAATTGATGGCTTTGAGTTGTGATGCTGAAGAAGAGTGTTGAACATACCATGCACTGCCAAGAAAACAAATGGGTCTGTCTTGGAGAGGGTGAAACCAAGTTTCTCCTTGGAGGCTAGGGTTTTGAAGTTACATCTCACATAATTTGGGCATGTGGTCAGGAGGGACCAATACTTGGAGAAGGACATCATGCTTGGAAGAGTGAAGGGACAGTGCAGGAGAGGAGACCCTGGACAAGAAAGATTGACACAGTAACTAGGGCAATGAGGATAGGTGTGTCAGTGTCAGGACAGGATAGGTTCAGAGCTATTGTACAGAGAGGGTTGCTATGAGTTGCAGGCAGCTGGACAGCACATAACTACAACACATGAAGATTGACATTCTAGGTATCAGTGAAATAAGATAGACTGGCATGGACCACATTGAATCAGATAATATGCTCTATACTGGGAATGAGCAGGTCATCTGGGATGCTGGGCTGTATGAGGAAGAATGTGGCATCAGGATTGGAGGAAGATTCATCAACAACCTGCGTTATGCAGATGACACAACAATACTTGTTGAAACTGAAGAATGTCGACTACACCATGGACTGCAAGGAGAACAAACAAGTTTGTCCTGGAGAGCATGAAACAGGGCTGCTCCTTGGAGGCAAAGATTCTGAGGCTTCGTCTGACATATTGTGGGCATGTTGCAAGGAGGGACCAGTCCTTGGAGAGAGACATCGTGTTTGGGGGATAGAGGGGCAGCACAAGAAAAGAAGACCCTCAATGAGATGGATTGATTCAGTGATTGGGGTAATGGGAGCAGGTGTGTCAGAGACAGTGAAGTTGACACAGGATAGAGCAGGGTTTAGGCCTCTTGTACATAATGTCGCTATGAGTCACAAGTGAGTTGACAGCACATAACACAACAACAACTGGGAATGAAAAACTGAAGAAGAATGGTGGTGTTTTCATAGTTAAAAATATAATTTTAATATCTAAAATACAA